ATATATAGAGAGAGAGAGAGAGAGAGAGAGAAGTATAGGATTAGTGTATATGGAATAAATTCCAATAACCAAAAATAATAATCTTAAAAGAGTGTTCAATACTGAGTAGAGCAAATATTATTATTTATTCCAAAACTATAACGTAAATATGTTATTAAAAACACTACAATAATAGCAATTTTGTTTCAAGACTTCTGGTGTCTTATCAAGTGATGGTGTTAAAAGTAGTGATGTTCTATTTTCAACACCATCAAAACACTGATGATGACATGGTGCTATGTCGAAAGTATTCGGAAACGTACTTGATAGTGTTGAAATTAGTGGTGTTCTACTTTCAACACAATCACTCGATAAGACACTATAAATGTTGAAGCAAAATTGCTATTTTTGTAGTGATTTTATAACATATTTATTTTTTGTTATGTCTCGAATATAAAGACAAGGAAAAGTAGGCGGGTCAGTACGCTAAGTAGTCTACCCTGATCCATTTAGGTGAAACCTAGGTAGGTTTGTTTGCCTCCTTAAGACTTATCCTATATATATATATATATATATATATATATATATATATATATATATATATGTGTGTGTGTGTGTGTGTGCGCGTGTGTGTGTGTGTGTGTGTGTTTATGTAGGTAGATAAATAGATAGATAGACAGAGAGAGAGAGAGAGAGAGATAGAGATACATAAGGAGAAATGAAATGACGCATTTTTCGTTGGTTGTTGATCCATTCGTGTTTCTTATCTTTGACTTTGTCTTTTTTTCTTTCCAGATAATTTTTCTTTCAATATATTTTTACTCATAAGTCCAATGAAAATGATTAGAATGAAATTATTTCGATTAATCTTACTATATCAGTAAAACCTGGGGTAGAGAGCCATTTTCGCATCGAATCATTACATACGATGACAAAATGATAATCTTTGACAACAGTAAGAGAGTAGGCCAGTGGATAGCTGCAAGTGAATCACTAAAAAATCCCAAAAATCCCCACAGCACCTTAAAAAGTTAATAGCTACTTTATCGTGGTCTTTATTTATTAGTCATTCTTGCCTCAAGGGAAAACAAAAACAGCAATCTCCTACTGTGGGGGAATTGATGTACGAATAAAAACTAAAATAAAAACATCCTAGACTTGCGAATAGGGTAACCTCTTCTTATCGCATGACAACGCACAACCCCGCGCCTCTAAGTCAACTGTCCAAAAGCTGCATAACCTGAATTATGAAATTGTGCCTCCTCCTCCATATTCACCTGATATCATTCCTACTAATGATCACTTATTTAATTATTTTGAGCTTTTCATACGCAATAACACATTCTCCAATAGAGAAGTAATCGAAGCCTTTGAAATGTTTCCCACATCAAAGAATGAGACTTTTCTTAAAGATGGGATCAATATTTCAGATGTACGTCGAACTCAGTCGTTCATCAACATGGTACCTATTTTAACTAAATAAATTAATTATTTAATATTTCAGAAGCCTTTTATTCATTTTCTATAAAGTGCGCCATTTCATATATGAAAATCTAGCACACACACACACGCACACACACTTATATATATATATATATATATATATATATATATATATGTGTGTGTGTATATATATATATATATATATATATATATATATATATATATATATATATCGCATCGTGATTCCCCACCAGATGAAACGTTAAAAAGTTGCTTTTTTTTAATGTTGAAACAAGATGTGCCATTTTGTAGTGGGTATGTGCATGTTATAATGTAACACTGCATAATAAATAAAAATCAATCTTCTTTTGTACTGGACTCTGTTTTCAGTTAATTTTTTGAACGCTGAAATCTAACTCTTCGTTCATTAACATATACATACATATATATATATATATATATATATATGTGTGTGTGTGTGTGTGTGTGTGTGTGTGTGAAGAAAAATATACGGAAAAAACAAACAAAAATCCTAATATGAAATTATGCTGTTTTAATATTAATATAATGTCAACGTCGGACGTTTCGGTCTAATTGACCATCTTCAGGACATATTCATAAAACATAATTAAAATTAGACCCTATTCAATTCAACATGAAAAAGTCGATTGCATATTAGGATTTTTGTTTGTTTTTTCCGTATATTTTTCTTCATACTGTCGGTTCTATATCCATATATTTGCTTACATATATATACATATACATATACACACACACACACACACACACACACACACACACACATATATATATATATATATATATATATATATATATATACATATATATATATATACAGAGAGAGCGAGAGAGATTAAAGCAACATTTGAGATGAACTAGGAATGTATATTTTTTACAGTGATTTTCACCCCGTACAAAGCTCAAGGGCTCCTCAATATATAGGAAGAGAGTGTAAGAGACACTGTTTATGTTGCTATGTGAGGATGAAAATGATCAATCCTAGACTTGAACAGGTCAAACTGTAGTGATTTTGGAAGTATCCTCTTTTCCCGGGAAGAAACTGATCGACTGGAACTTACATTTCACCAACGGAGTGCAAGGGGGAATGAGGATTGTTTGCTACAATGGGCGTAGCATAGCGGGTCATAGCCATGAACGTAGACCTGACCGAATCACTCTCTCTAATTCTACTTGTCCCTTTTACAAATTCGCTCGACACCAAAATGACCAGACAGATTGCAAATGCTCTACCTGAACGCCGGTCGATGTCAACAAATATTTCTTAAATTATTCGAAAATTTAATCTTACTACATTATTAGAGTTGCAACATGTATAGTTGAAAAGGAAAGCTTAATAATAATAATAATAATAATAATAATAATAATAAATTGCCTACTTATTGATCTAGCAGTCCCTGCAGACTGCAATGTATCTTTGAAGATTTTCAAAAAGCTATCAAAATACAAGTACTTTGAAATGGAAATCTCAAAACTGTGACACATAGGAACAACAACAATCCCTGTTGTTGTTGGAGCCCTCGGATTGATTGGAAAATATTCCAATAGAATTATTGAAGGGGTTCATGTTAAACCATGCCTTAAAGAAATAAAAATATTTGTTCTCACAAATGCAGCCCACCCATTCCGAAGGGCTTTATCGATGTAAAATATGTTGTTTTTTTTTTTTTTGAGGGGGTGGAGGGTAGTTGCTCTGTGGAGAATGTCATGATGCCATTTCTGACCTTAGGTCGATGACCGGGACCAGGAAAGAAATGAATACACACCAGGAATCAAAAGGAATAATAATAATAATAATAATAATAATAATAATAATAATAATAATTTACTAATCGAGAGATGGGAAAATACAGAAAAATATCCAAATTATCGCATCTTGACCAGAAAAGCTCGATCGTTATAAAAAAGAACACCACTTAAATATGAAGAGGTATTCAGAACTGTTTGTTTTGGTCAAAATATTTTCTAGCTATGTAGTGAATTTCGAAAAATTAAATAGGTGTGGGTAGAGTAGTCTCTTTGTTTTTTTATGCTTAGAATAAACCTCTTTACTCCTGCATGGGGGTTAGGGACTCAATCAGATAAGGGATTATACTATTTTGAGTCCACTTCGAGTCATTTTTTCACACTCTCTCTGTCTCATTTTACGGGCTTAATAATAATAATAATAATAATAATATACTACTCGAGAGAACAGGCGTTATATATATATATATATATATATATATATATATATAAAATATTTTTTAAACTTTTTTTTTCTTTCGATTATAGTTTTCAGTATTAAAAGCATTGTAAAAATATTGTTTTTTATATTATGACATCTTTAGTCGTAGTGGGTAATCTTTTCTAATGTATTTTGAAAGTTTTGTACTTTTAGCATATTGCTTTAGTCATAAGATATTTTATTAATATAATACTTACTTTTAATGCTTTTTTTAGCCACTACATTATTGTTTCTTCTACATTTATACATATTATTTTCTCAATTCGCCTCAGGAAAAGCATTAAAGCCCCTACGATGCAAATACTTATAGTGATTATTACCTTATATAAATATATTACTAATTTTATTTTGTTGAAGGTTATGCACTTTCCTTTATTTCTACAATTTCAAGAATTATTATTATTTTTTTTATTTTTTTATTTTTTTTTTGTATGTCATATCCCTTCAGTCTTTTAGCAATCATTGCTCTCCAGATTTTCCTGTCCTGGTTGTGGAAAATTTTGTTGTTTGCTATCACACATCAACCTTATTCTACCATACATCTACACACTTTCTATAGACAGATTATGTGGGCGCAGTTATATTTTGTTCGTCTTGCCTTAAATATGCCTTGTGTGTGTAAAATTTTCCAAACCTTTTTCCTCATTATGTTTCCTAGCAATATATACGGTTTCTTTTTCTGATGTTATGTATATTTTCTCTAAAACTTTGTTGTTTCTCACATGTTCAATCCATGCTATTCCCAGCATGCTTCTGCAGAACCGCATTTCTGGAATCTTCTTCATTTGTGAGGACATTTTACTGTGATGTTTACAGTTTTTTTTTCTCTCGCTTCTCTTCACTAACTTCTGTAGGTGTTCTTGTAGTTTCCTTTCTGTACCTGCTATCAGCACTATATCAACTGCGTCTTATGTAGTTAAGAAAGTGGCCGACAATAATGGTAGGACTTCAAATTATACCAGAATCGTCTCCCTGTATAATCTGAATAAGCCAGTAGAAGACACGTCCTTGTCTTCTACAGGATGTTGCAGAAAAATCCGACACTTGACAAAAAGCAAACGAAATAGGTAATAAAAACAAAAGTTTTTTTTATGCAGATACCCGACAGATTGACACCTAACTAACGTTTTTCTCTCTACCCTTTTCCAGGATGGAATATGAGCGAAGAGCAACGGTAGTAGCTTCTTTTCGCGTCAGGAAGAAGCCTGCGGAAGTGATGGCCTGGTTTGTGTTCAAGAGGACCATGGTCATGGACATTTGGACGAAGTAGAAGGCGTTTGAGAACAAGGGCGAGTTTAATGCCAATCTAAAGGCCCAAAACGTTCCTTTGTCGGCCGTTAGTACCGACGAATTCGTCGCCGCCGTCAAGGAGACAGTCAACAATGATGGAAGCCAGAGCTACGCCAAGATCGCCGCTGACATGGGCTGTGACAAGTCGGCCATCTGCCGAACGATCAAGAAGGACATTGGTTACTCCTACTTCCACAAGTCTCTCAGCATGCTCATCACGAATGCCTCCAAGGATTGAGGAAGGTCAAGGTCGTGGCTTTGAAAAAACGAGCTCAAGCACGGATCCGCCGGGATGCTGAGGTTCTTCTCTGAATAAAAGTATTTGATCCAGGAACAGACCAGTAACAGGCAGAACGACAGGTGGATATGCAAAGACATCGAGGACGTTACCGTTGTGAAGCATACGAAGTTTCCCTCCGCTGTCATGGTCCTTGACGTCATTTCCAGTGACCGGGGGACGTCATGCCTCCGTTCTTCTTTCAAAAGGGACCGAGAGTCACCGCTGACATTTACCAGGAGGTGCCGAGGAGCGTGGTGAAGCCCTGGAAGAAGGAGATCGCCGCCGGACACCCCTACGTCTTCCAGAAGGACTCCGCTCCTGTACATACGGCCAAGATGACCCAGGCGTGGCTGCTTAACAATGTTCCTCACTACCGATCGCCGGACTCGTGGACGCCCGACTGCAACCCCCTTGACTATTTCTTCTTGTGCGTGTTCGATGCCAAGACCAACAAGAACGCCCACGCGCCCGCCTTAAGATGGCGGTCGCCTCCGGCGGCGGTTATATTGAAAGATAATGTACTATGTAACTCTAAGTGTTGCTAAATAAACTGCCGGGTCTCTGCATATAAAACTTTTGTTTTTATTCCCTATTTCGTTTTCTTTTTGTCAAGTGTCTGATTTTGCTGCAACAACTTGTATATTTACTGAATTCATTTTCACCCCGAATGCAAGCCGTCTGTTGTGTATAAAAATCTCTCAAAACGACTAACAAATGAATTTATATTAGTAACTGGTGCCTCCAAAATAGTGATTGTATACCTATGATAGCGTTGATTGAGGAATCGAAGAACCTAGTTCGAATTCCAGTCGAATCAATTATATTCACTTACATGCTTTTACCTTTGGGAAAGGTATGAATCCTATTCTTTCCCATCAGCTATGAGTAAATAGAAGGGTTGACCGTGTTCTATAGCCATGGATGGCAACTTGTCTACAGAAGAAAAAAGTAGCAACCTACTGCAGGAAAAATCTGCCTCGTCAGTTATGTATCGAAAGATACATGATCGCCTAAGCATGTATCACTCATGGGAAATAACAGACTGATACCTATGATGTGTCGTTTAGATTTCTGAATAGTCTACAATTTGTGCATGAAATAAATCGGAGTTTTAGGGAATAATTCGAAGTTAATCTGAGCGATAATGCAGTGGTTGTACAACCAATGTATGTGCTGGTTGAATTATTATTATTAGGGAGACATTTTCAATTTTTTCTTGAAAGACCATATCTGATGGATTTCTTGTTCCGAGGTTAAAAATAGCAATTTCTCAGAAATTAATTAATTTATATTTAATAAAATAGTTTTTTCATATTTCAAACGTTTTTGTTTTTGTTTTTTTTTTTTCAGTGGAATAACTTTTAAAATAATAAAAATCTATTTTATTAAATTTTCAATCATATCATATGATATCCACCTGAATATCCACTTAAAATAACGTCTGGAGCAATTAAGATAATTAAACATGTGGGGATGTACATTCTTTAAAAGTATAAGAACAAACATGGTGGACAGTGATACTTTCTGTGAACGTCTAAAACACGATAGATGGAACTTCTTTCCTAGAAACGGGAACGTAGAACCCTACTCAAGAGCCCATTTTTATTTAGTATTCGCGGGCGCGTCGTCCATCACAAGTAATGCACACTGTTTTAAATTACCTTATTCCATATTTATTATTCTACTAGTTTTCAAATTCATTATACTTACTCATTATGTAGGTGTTTATTTATCTGCCCCTCATTGTTCGAGCAAAATTACTTTCATCTAGTCATCTCACCTGTCAAATATATTGAAATATTCTATCATTCATTATTCAATGCAGTAGAATATTCGCATCTTCTTTTCACTGTCTTTCCCATTTCCTTATATCAGGACCACGCTTCATTGTCTCTTTTGTTCACTCATCATATATTAACTCCTTAATTTCGATATGTATACCAACCTTGTTCCCCAGTATCTCCATCTATGGTTGTATCATATTCAGTTTTTCCCTACCATGTATCTCCTTTTGTAACACAAGAACAAATGAATCGTACTAACTCCCCTTTACTCCATTTTTCTCATCATATAATCGACCTAAACATCTGATAATTCTATCGATATATTCTTTTGCTCAAAAGTTGTTTTTTTTTTATCACTATTACATTGATGCCTGGCAGATACATCCGGCGTCTGTAATAGATCTGTCTGCTTTTTTTTCTAATAGATCTGTCTGCTTTTTTCTATCTCGTCCAATCTACGTCAAATTTCTTTCTTTTTCATTTTTTTCTTTCTTTCTTTCTTTCTTTCTTTCTTTCTTTCTTTCTTTCTCATTCAATTCCTGTTCCCTCTCTACAATTTCAATGATCAAATCCTCCTTGAAAATATACATCCATGTTAGCGGTGTTGATTCCCACGGACAACGCTCATGCACCCTCAAAGTAGCATTATCTGGCTTGGTCCGCCATGTTAATTCTATTTGCCTGCAGAGATGACGCAGCGAATTTTTATATAAATTAGAAACAATCTCCACGGCTTAGCCGGATAAAGGACAAGGCGATTTTTGATGCGATCTGACGGAAATATGCCGAAATTAATCAAATTGTTGCTAGTTTAGATATGGCAGGTAGAGTGCCGGGGCAGATCCAGTGAGAAGATTTTACCGCGGACGACACCGCCGACGGCATTAACGACGATAGATTGAAATCGAATAGACAGAATTCAATTAGTTATAAGTCTATAGCAAGCAGCTTTGATAGCACGTCATTGTGTTTAGCATTATCTCGAAGATTAACATGCGTGCATACAAACACTAAGCAGTCGTTTCTTCCCATATGTGCTGTTTATTTGCCGCTCATACAGTCGGAAATTATTAGTAATATGATTTGCGGCTATCAAATGTTAAATTATGGCTGTTCGGTTGTCTCTTTGCACGACTCTCTCGTTGTGTACTGTATTGCCTTTTCGTTTTTTATTATTTTTATTAATGTGTTCCTATTGTCAATTTAGATTAATTTAACGTTACGTTGTTTTTAATTGCCATTTTTATAATTGTATGTACATCTGTCTCATGATATCAAAGAAAATGCAATTGCTCCAATATTAATATAAATATATTTTTTTCTAATAGTATTTATACTACAAAAAAGATTATTAACTTGATTATTACGAAAACCTTTAATAATTAGGTTCTAAGCAATCATTACCAGTCCCTCTCTGAGTATCCATCAAGTAACAGGCCACAGATCCACTTATGATAGAGTGTTACTGGATGAGGTGTGATTTTAATGTGCACATTGTAGGCTACTTGTAGGGTTACCTGTCGCGAGGTTTTATAAATTTAGATGTGATGTTTATTATAAGACCACCAAAGTCGAAGGGGCTGGCTTCCATCATTTCAAGATTAATCATCGGTAGAATTTTGTTAATACAGATACCAGTGTCCACACTCAGAATATCGAACGATTATAAGGATCAGTGAAGTGGAGGAACAAGAACGACGCCATCTTGAGAGCTACCTGGCCGAATTTATGTGGAGATGTCAACTACCCGGTGGATTCGCCCGGAATAATTCGATTAATGTTTGTTATTTGGACATATAATTTACGAAACAAATATTTATTTTTACATATATGTATTTGTGAAAAGTTGGACAATTAATCTAAAAAGTGGCGATGCATAACCAACAAGTACCCATTGTATTATTCAGGAAAACATTCACGAAGATAATTCTGTAAAATAAAATTTCTTGCGAAAAAGCTGTCTGGATGGAAATTGTTCCTTACTAGTGGAATAGGGTGGTGAAGAGTGTGATTCGTTTTCCTGCATGTAGCATGTCGTGTCCTAGCTACAAAAGTCTGGAATGGTTGAAATACAGACAGGATTCGCATCTGTTATAATTTATTTGATTTGAAAAGTTGTCTGGTAAAGGTTTTGACAAACATTCTTTTAGCGGCGCCTGTCTATATTTATATGCCCAAACAAGTAATCGATATTTAACATAAGATATATTAAAGAAACAAACATTAAGCATCGAGGATAAAACTGACTCAAGTATATTCACAAACTTCTGAGAGGAGAAACACATTAATATTTCAAGTATTGCATAAAGAACGGAACTCACTGTCCGGAGAGTTGATACCGTTGACAATATCTTGAAAGTATATGGCGCATATTAACTTCTTAACTCCTTAAAAATTACAGGGGATTTGCTGGAGATTGAGAAAATTGAAAGAAATAGCCCAAATCCCATTATCGACAAGCTTCCTAAGTTTTTCCAGTTTAGATTACACCGAGGTGTTGATTGCTTGCGGAGTAACGAGAGAACTGGTGAGTACCTTTGTGTATAAATTCCCTTTGTTACTTAAGGGCGATGAATGATGTCAACACTTTAACCTATATGGTCAGAATAAATCGAGCCTATTGGAATATTCATTCCAACGTTCTGTTTGCTAGAGATTTTATATTGTCACAGATTAAATAACTGCAGAGATTTGTCGGTCCCGTCGGCCAAAATATGATGATTTCAATTGTCCAAACAAATATTGGCATTGTATGTCTAAAGTTTTCAAATCAAAGCAAATAATATAATTGTAAATTATATAAGTCTTCCAAAGATTTCCGGACCTCCATTTTGATTCGGGACAAATCAGATAAATCGAAGAAATTATTATTAAGAAAACAAAATATCAGCAGAATTACATACACAAAATTCAAGTTTATATCATTAATTTTTTTTTCAAAATATTATGTCCCTCCTGGGTATGACAATAAACTAAATCCGGCATCCTACGTATGACGATAAACTATATCCGGCATCCTGGGTATGACGATTATCTACATCCGACAGCAAGGCCTCTGTTCAGGAAGTTTTGAGGGGCGTGGACAATTGATGCTGTTCTCAGGTCCACCCTGACCCGGAGTGGTAGCACCTGCTAGGGCCCCAAATATGGGTAGATAGTCAACCCACAAATTGGAGTCGAAACTATATGAAAGTTTAAAAATAGGTTTTAACTGCAGCCATACATGTTTGAGGAAAAATTATTACCAGCTGTACGTCGTTGCCAGCAATACATTTTTGAAGAAAATAAATATTACCTGCAATACATTTTTAAAGAAAATCAATATTACCAGGAATACATTTTTGAAGAAAAAATATTACCAGCAATATATTTTTGAAGAAAAAATATTACCAGCAATAAATTTTGAAGAAAAAAATATTACGAGCAATATATTTTTAAATAAAAAATATTACCAGCAATACATTTTTGAAGAAAATAAATATTACCAGCAATACATTTTTGAAGAAAATAAATATTATCAGCAATACATTTTTGAAGAAAATAATTTTTATCAGCAATACATTTTTGAGGAAAAAATATTACCAGCAATATATTTTTGAAGAAAATTTTTTACCAGCAATGCATTTTGAAGAAAATAAATATTACCATCATTACATTTTTGAAGAAATTAAATATTATCAGCAATACATTTTTGAGGAAAAAATTATTACGAGCAATATATTTTTGAAAAACAAAATATTACCAGCAATACATTTTGAAGAAAATAAATATTACCAACAATACATTTTTGAGGAAAAAATATTACCAGCAATATATTTTTTAAATAATTATTGCCAGCAATACATTATTACCAGCAATAGATTTTTGAAGAAAAAATTATTACCGTCAATAAATTTTTACAAATAATTATGACCAACAATACATTTTAGAAGAAGAAATATTAGCTGCAATGAAAATCCTGTCGGCATTAACTAACTCAGTGTAGTTGATATGCTGTAAAACAAAACAAAGCAGACGAAACGAAACCAAAATATTATGCTGTCTTGTGCGAAATGATGCCCATAGAGAACGTACTACATAAAAGACAACCGACTGTCAAAATTAGCACGTTCTGTATGACTTCCAATCGATGAAGAAAAATCTGTAGCAATTTAAATCGATATGTAAGTAAATATTTCTACTGAAAGGCATATACATTTTATATTTCAGCAAAAATCTTGATGAAATGAAACGTTTATTTACTGCTATCTTTGTCAGGCCTTTTTTTACTTTCTCTATCTCAGACATAGATAAACACCTATATGCAATGATGACAAATTTTTATCTTCAGCGCAATTCTGCGCAATATAGCAAGCATTATAACAAATAATGAAAATATATCTGAAAGGCATAGGAGTAGCAAACAAAAACTAAAGGATATGAAGAAAATTTTGTCAAAAAAAACCCGAAATACTGACTTAATATCAGTACTCCTATATGAAATTGAATGTTGAGCAGAGAAAGAGGAGTCTTGAGGCAACAGAGATGCAGTAATGCAGAAGGAACCTGAATGTTTTAGCAACGGGGGAAATTTTAAGGGAAATGAAAATAAAAAGAATATGCTTACTTAGAATAAGATAGATATCGTTTAAATTTTCGGGATATATAAGAAGTAAAGTAGGCTTAGAGAATATGAAACACACGGCATACTGAAAGCAAGTGCGGCAAAGCGAATCATCGAGTAACCTTCATAATGATCTTGTGTAAATGGATGGCAGAAGATGAGCTGGTAATTATAGTAAACGGACAGTCTTTACTTACAGCGACGAATGATAGGAAGTTGTGGAGAGCTATCAACTTGCACTTCCTGAGGCGATCCAAGAATTGGGAGAGAAAAAAACAATGAAAAATGTTAATTACTGTCTCGTAAATATACCAATCTAAAGTCCAGATTTATGTAAAGAGGGAAGTCGGCATCGAGTGTTTTATTCGATGTGCTGAATGCTGTAGTTACAGGCGAGTACAAATATTCGAGTCATAATAAAATTTTTATAGCAATAGGATGGTGCGAAACATTTCCAAAACAGCACATCTTATGTTATGTCGCAGTACATTTATGCTGAGAACTATCTGCAGTGATCAGAAAAGTGAAAACTCATCAACAGATGACAAGATACTGGATTGCGATGGCAAGCTTGCACTGAACAGAACTTGATAATATGGTCTTGATAATATGGCGGAATACCTCTTTACTTATCACGCAAGCAGCAGCACTGACCATTGAAATAATTAAATAAAGCTCCCAGTGCGACATTGTCACCACATCGTGTGCATCTCGACTGTATATTTAGCAAAGACACTTCTTTATCTGTCTATATTGCTGAGATTAGGTATTATGTACATTATTTACATTATTCGGATTATTGTCCTCTAAGACACATGGCACAGTGGATAAAGGTGTTAGTTAGATCCATTGGCAGGACCCAAAGAGTGTGAGTTCAATAGCCTGTTATGCAGTGCAGAACTTTCAGAGGGGAATTAACAGGAGATAACTGATAACTGATTTCCATTAAACATGGCACGTGGAACTAGAACAGTCTACCCCAGTGAGCGAAATAAAGGGTTTCAGTTCTACATTCAATACCCTGAAGAAGGCCGGAGCTTACAACGGCCGAAATGTTGTAATAAATATGGCGACAAAGTTGAGGTATCTC